TTGCTGGTGTGTCAGGAGGCATGCCAAATCATGCCCTCCAGTGTCTACAAAATGTCTCCATCTGGAAGTGGCCTAACAACAACCTCCAAGAGGGGGGTAACCAATGTACTTTTGAATCCCCTGCCATGAATTGCACCCTTCCATTCTACACCTCCATGACTGAGCCTGTTACTCTGTGCAATGTTGGCTATACCATTCAGACTGCCAGTGAAGGGATCACATACATGAATCCCCCACCCCCAACTCTCTGAACATTCAAAATTCATATGCCAACAGGGATGGTTCCTTTGGCATGCTACTTTTCTGTGTGAGACTCAAATGTGCAGCATCCGCAGACACACTGTGCATTCTGATGTGATACAGTCCAGAGAAAGGCAAAGCATGTACTGCAGGTATGGATCAGCCGTAATTTGGTAGAACTTAACAGAGGTTTGAAACTGCCCCTCTCAGTAAACGAAGCTGCTCAGAAAACTTATCGGCATCGCCCAGTCTTCCATTTCTTCTCAGGGAGCATCCACACAGCAGTTTTGGAGGCAGCAGATGGACTGACCTGTCTAAATGGATATCCAACCCCGCCGACTTACTTTTAGAACTGGAATTTTGGGCCAGTGCATTAAAACGTCTGGTTCACTGTGCCAGAGCGAAACCGGGAGCTTGAGTGTGCCTATGTCCTCAGGATGCCTTTTGGAAGAAGCAAGAGCTATGTGGGCCTTTCAGTGGGTGATTATTCATTGTAAAAGTGAAAACATTCTGCAGTGTGACTCAGCTGGCCCCAGCTAGTGTTAGGGATCATTTTTAATGCCTTTCTACGGATGCCACCAGGTGAGTCTGTGTGCAGACCTAGAGATGCCAGGAGCATACAGATTTTTTAAATCTAGACACTCCGTGGCAGATTGCCGTATCCCCTCCCCTTTCCTTCTGCCATTACAAGCAGCAGAGTCTGTGACCTGCTATTTTCTGTGGTATGTAGTTGGGAGGACACAGCACCCTTTGATGTCAATTGACGTGCACGCATTTTACTGCCTCGCTGCCTTCCAGCTTTAGTGCCTTGGTTTCCGCTCTCTTCTCCCTTCCTTTCATATACAGGTTTCTTCAAATCAAAAAGAAACCCACCCACCCCTCCAGTGCAAAGGCTGTTCTGAAGTATCTGCTCTCTGCCGAGCCCAGAAGCATTATGACACAGTGACCGTCTACGCAAGAATCTATTTTAAGCAGTGCATCTTATGGGAATGTAGCACAACATGTGGACATTATATATATAAATTGTGCAAGCTACCCATATTTGGAGGAGATGGACGTGTGCTGCATAATACCTAATACCTACATATAGTCTCTCTCTTTCTCTCTCAAACAAACACACACACACACACACAAACAGAGTTTCGAAGTGTGGATTTGCCTCTAGGACAATAATTTTTTCTCCTAAAGAGTGGGTCCTTATGTCCTTATATGTTTGCAGAGCACCAATGTCAGTCTGCGACTAATAAATAACAGTCGATGGTGATGATACAGAGTGTGATGGGAATTCAGTGCCACTTTTTACCCACTGGTGCACGACAAGCAGGAGAACAGCAGCAGTTGCCATTAGCGTCTGGCGCGTTGCGGAGAGATGCTCTTTTGGGACTTGGGTGAGGCTCCTTTCCTTTACAAGCTTCACAGCATCCAGTAGAAGCTGAGCAGGTTCCACACCGATTCACCCAAGTCGCGCAGCAGAAGGGGATTAGAGGGCGTGGGGCTGGAAAGGTGAACCTCTGCTGGCAAGCAACCCAGACCTGGCCTGCTTCCTCTTCAAGGGACAGAAATCCAGGCAGCAGTCCTAAGGGGAGAGTGGCCACCAAGAGATGGACAGCAAGTACAATGGTCAGAGCATCAGACCAGGATTCCGGAGGCCCAGGTTCAATTCTCCCGTCGGCCACGATACTCACTGGATATCTTTGGGCCAGTCACTCTCTCAGCCTAACCTCCCTCACAGGGCTATTGTGAAGAGAAGACAGAAGGGGGGCAGAGCATTGGTATATGCTCCCCTGGGCTCCTTGCAGAAAGATTAGGATAAAGATGAAATAAAACCCTTTCTTGTCTCCTTGTCATTCTTAGGCAATGTCTATGCTACTAATTTATGTGAGCTTTATAGTAGTTTAACTGCCATGGTTTTCCCTGGTCACTCCTAGCAACTGCAGTTTGACAAAGCTGCACGGCTGTTAAGCCAGGTGACAATTGTGCCTGAGAATTGCCAAGGAGAGCTGCGGTCACAGCTCACTCACTTGAACACAAAAAGCTGCCTTAGACTGAGTCAGAGCCAGGTCAGCCTGGTCTACTCTGGCTGGCAGTGACTGTCTGGGGGTGTGGGCGTGTTTCAGGTGGAGGTCTTCCACATCACCTATGACTGGGTCCCTTTTAAACTGGAGATGCTGGGGGCAGAACCTGGGGCCTTCTGCATGCAAAGCAGGTAACTCTGCCACTGAGCCACAGTCTCTTTCTTCTAGGAATCCCTGCAGCAACAGGGGATGCAGCTATGGCTTCTCCTCCGCCTGTCTCTACACCCACCTTCCCTTCCTGTTTGCTGTGGGTCAGAATGGGAGCCCAGCTGGCTATAGCAGGCTCAAGCGGGAGAGGGAAGGACGGTGGAGAAGCAAGACAGCCGATGCAGCTGCTGCATCTGTCTTCACTGCTGTAGAGCACATTTCTGTGCTTCATCTGAGCACATTTTTGTATTATTTTAGAAGTCATGGGGGTTAGGAAGCTGGATACTATCTGCGCCTGTGCGCAGATAGTATCCAGCTTCCTAACCCCCATGACTTCTAAAATAATACAAAAATGTGCTCAGATGAAGAGTCGGTTCCATGTCGCCCTCGTTGTCCTTCATTAAGATAATGGATGTAACCCCAAGTTGACAGGCAATTCCCAAAGGGACCTATTAGCAGTACAAATGCTAACCTGGACACCACTCCATTTGACTACCTCTAACTCTGTCCCCATCTTCTTGCACTCAGTCTCTCAAACTTTGGCATATATTGACAGATATATTGGCGTGGCTATCTATCTTTTCTGAAGTTCAGGAGCTTGGACTCTGGCTCCAGTTATCCTGTAACACAGCTAGCGGAATAAACAAAGGAAGGGAGCGGGGGGGGGGGGGAAGCCCAGCTTCTTTTGGAAGAAGCTTTAAGGCTGGCGCTTTCAACGTACCTTGCTACTCCATGCAGTGAAGAGTCAAAGCCCTCCTCCAATACATAGCTGGAGAAAAGCTTCAGACTCGGCTGAGCCGAGCAGTAGGATGCAGGCCAGTGTATTTAGAGACCCTTGCCTGAAGCACAGCCAGCCTAACCATGAAGAAAGACAAAGCTGTTGTTTTAGCCGGAGCCCGAAAGTCCGGGGCAGCTCTTTTTGAAGGCGGGGGGGGGGGGGGGGGAAGCCCAGCTTCTTTTGGAAGAAGCTTTAAGGCTGGCGCTTTCAACGTACCTTGCTACTCCATGCAGTGAAGAGTCAAAGCCCTCCTCCAATACATAGCTGGAGAAAAGCTTCAGACTCGGCTGAGCCGAGCAGTAGGATGCAGGCCAGTGTATTTAGAGACCCTTGCTTGAAGCACAGCCAGCCTAACCATGAAGCAAGACAAAGCTGTTGTTTTAGGCATCAGACTCCAGTTTCATTTCTCCTTCCTTCAGTTTTCATTTCTGCTTGTCTTTTTTTTTTTTTGAACTTACACTTGGGTCAGAATAAAAGCATGATTTTCAGAAGCTGGCCCTGATTTTAATGTAAGTGGATTTATACAGAGGGACCTGGGAGGGCACTCTTCGGGGGCAAAGCTTGCCTTGGAATCATGAGCAACACACCCATGGGAAGAGGAGCGGCCTGCATGGTTCTGCTCTTGCCTAGGATAGGATCTAGCTTCCAGTCTTTCTAGCTGCCACATATGTCCCAGCCTCAGCAGGCTTTCTGGATGCTGCCTAAGTAAGGGGAGGGCACTCTTCGGGGGCAAAGCTTGCCTTGGAATCATGAGCAACACACCCATGGGAAGAGGAGCGGCCTGCATGGTTCTGCTCTTGCCTTGGAATAGGATCTAGCTTCCAGTCTTTCTAGATGCCACACGTCCCAGCCTCAGCAGGCTTTCTGGATGCTGCCTAAGTAAGGCGCAGCAGACCAACGTTTGAGTGATTGCCACTTTGGGGTCAGGAAGCAATTTTTCTCCAGGCCAGTTTGGCCGGGGATCCTAGAGGCTTTTTGTCATCTTCTGGGCGTGGAACAGGGGGTCACTGAGGGTAGGGGGGAGACTGAGGTATTTGTGGATTTCCTGCTTTGTGCAAGGGGTTGCACTAGATGACCCCAGAGGTCCCTTCCATTATTCTAAGTGGCGCCTTTGAAACCTGAATCCTGTATCCCACACCTATTTCATAGTGACCCGCCAGCTGTGCCAGGGAACCTCTTGGTGGGATTGGTTTGTGCCAAAACCCAGCACTTCCTTCTGTTGTAGTGAGCCATACAAGGCAGCAGAACACACACGTGAACATGGCTTACGCTGAATCAGAATCTTGGTCTATCCAGGATGGTTCTGTGGCTGGCTGTGGCTCTTTCCAGGGTCTCAGGAACAATTCTTTCCCATCACCTACCCACTGATCCTTTAACTTGGAGATGCCAGGGATTGAACCTGGGACTTCCAGCATGCAAAGCAGACGCTCTACCACTGAGCCAGGGCTCCTGAATAAATGGTCATAGTGCCATATTATCATTTACTGGCTCCTCCTTGGCTCCACCTCTAACCTGGCAGGCCTGCAGATGTTTCCAAAGTCAGTCTTGCATTTTTGCCTGGGCAACATGTAGTGTTTAGCTTTGTCCAGCACACTTACCTTCCTGAATCTAGGGTTGCCAACTCCGGTTGGGAAATTCTGAGAGATTTGGGGGTGGCACCAGGAGAAGGCAAGTTTTGAGGGAGCACCTCAGAGGAATATAACGCCTCTCAGTCCACCCTTCAAAACAGCTCTTTTCTCCAGGGGAACTGGCCTCTGTTGTCCAGAGGTCAGTTGTGATTCCGAAACATCTGCAGGTCCCACCTGGAGGTTGGCAGCCCTATGCACCTGCCACCTCCCTTCTTCATGCTTCCCCTCAGCTTTGATTCTGATTAGTGTAAGACTGTGCCTTGGCCTGTCCTCTCGGCCTGGTGCCGGAAACTTCTGGCCATTTTTCCTGGGGCTCTCTGGCAACACAAGAGCCTGATCCTGCAGCTCTACTCGTTCAGGATCAGCTTTGGCTGCCCAGTACAGAGCATTATTTACAGACAAGCCTGGTGCAGAAACGCTTCAGGAAGCCCACCTTTGTGTTAAGTGAATTCAGCGTGAAACATAGACCAGACTTTATGCTCCTGAGGAAGAGCATCAGCTTCGGTGGGTCTTACGTGTACAGGTATTTTTTAAACACACAGGTATGCCAACGCACAAACTGGAATCCAAAAAGAGCGTGGGACTCCTGCTGCAACGTGTTTTCCACACATGCCCTTCCCTTGCCTCTCCATGCTTCTTTCTTTCCCTCTTTCAGTTCTTCTGTTGTGACAACACCAATGAAATTTCACAGATGGGAATGGATTTGGCTGGTGCAGGAAGCTCACGGTGTCTAAGGGGGGGGTCCCCCCTCCTCCCTGCCCTAGCTGAGCCTTCTCTGGGTTTGAGACAGCAGGTCTGTGTAAATTTTGGACCTCAGGAACCTGGGGTAAGAGTCTTTTTCCATAAGGCTGTGGATTTTCCCCTGGGCCTGGTCAAAGCAGGATGGCGACGGCTCTTGTATGTTCCTTCTTGTCACTTCCCGTGTCTGGAAGTCTATATTCACCTGAGAAAGAAACAGGACAGTGGTTTTCTGGGACAGTTGGTTTCATACAATGTTTCGGGTACCTGCCAGCGTCCCATGCCCCCCTGATAACATAGGATCATATGGTAAGAACCACACCAGCCATGTGGTCATAACTGTGACACAGATGTGGTTGTTTCCTTTGCTCCTGCCCATCCCACATGGCTCCTACATACCAACATTACTGCAGCCTGTGTATCAGGGATATCAGAGAGCTCTGATATCTGAGAGCCAGCACGGTCTGGTGGTTAAGAGGGGCGGACTCTAATCTGGAGAACCGGGTTTGATTCCCCACTCTTCCACATGAAGCCAGCTGGGTGACCTTGGGTCAGTCACAGCTTTCTCAAAACTCAGCCCCACCTGCATCACAAGGTGTCTATTGTGGGGAGGGGAAGGCAAGGCGATTGTAAGCCACTCTGAGACTCCTTTGGGTAGTGAAGAGTGGGATATAAAACCAACTCTTCTTCTTCTTCTTCTGAAGTCAGCTTCCATACTGCTGGTCCCTGGTCCCTAAAAGCAACTTTCTGGGCCTGCTTAGTGAACGAAGTAGCGACTCCAAAGCAGCTCCGATGCTTGTGAGTGCTGTTTAGCCTTCACTTTCCCATAATGGTGGTGGAAAGTACTGTTAAGTTGTGGCCAACTTACAGCCACCCCCACAGGGTTTTCAAGGCAAGAGATGTTCAGAGGTGGTTTGCCATTGCCTGCCTCTGCGTAGCAACCCTGGACTTCCTTGGCGGTCTCCCATCCAAGTTGCTTACCAGGGCTGACCCTGCTTAGCTTCTGAGATCTGAGAAGATCAGGCTAGCCTGGGACACCCAGGTCAGGGCACAGCCATTATTTCGCCTATAAATTTGGGATTCCTACGTACTCTGAGGAGGAGGCGGCACTGGAATCCACAGATGGAAATCCACAAGCATGAGAGTGCTGATTGAAGATTAACCTAGCAAAATCTGATCGTTTGTGTAGAACCATTCCTATGCCATTCTTATGTCTTCAAAATATCACGAAACTTTGGCTATATACAAGGGGATGCTTGCAGGCACACAGGCCTTAACTGCAAAACTTTTTGCTCTGCAGGAGGAAGGAAAACTGTCCATTATGTGCTGCAGTTGTTATTACTGCTGCTTTTGATAAGGAACACTCTGTGCTATGGCTATATGCTCCTACCATCTTCAGAGACACAGTCACACATGCACATTATGGACTACATAAATATTTTCCAAGGTGGAATGAAAAGGTGTGGGAGGCCCATTTAGCAAAAATCAGAACCAGCCTCCTCTTCCCAGCTTTTCTGGCAGTTTTTCAAGGATCCCTGCCCTGGCTGGCAGGATAGCTCAAATGACCAGGATAAGGAAGCACTGCCCCTCTTCGAATGGCTCTCGTTGCCCTAAGTAACATCAACAAATAGTCAGGTCTGTCCACATGGCATTGTGAGATCACTGTGTCTCTGGCTGTCAAAAGCCGTCAAAGCAAGGCTGCCAAAGCAAGAGCAAAATGGGGGGGAAACAATGGCTGTGAACATCAGCGACAGCCAGTGTTCCCTCTAAGCTGAGTTAGTGTGAGCTAGCTCACAGTTTTTTAGCCTCCGGCTCACACATTTTTGTCTTCACTCAGGAACGATGGCTCCAGAGCAAGCTAATTTATGCAGCAGCCAAATCACTGGCTCACAACTTCAATGCCAGTAGCTCACAAAGTAGACTTTTTGCTCACAAGACTCCACAGCTTAGAGGGAACATTGGCGACAGCCATGGCAAATAGGTTGGATTAAGGTTTTTCTCAGGGTCCCTTAGAAATCTGTATTTTTGGGCTTAAAAGCAAACACGGAGAACACTCAGCTTATCCAGGGCTAAGTGAGGACAATTTAACGTCTGCTTCATGTGGAATCCTCGCACATATGATGCTAAAGAAGCAGTAATTTCTTTCAGTTAGTTAAACCACATGATACTGAAGGCCCAGGAGAAAACTGTGATCAACAGAGGTGTCCTAAATGTTGTTGAGTTCCTAGTCCCTTTCCACTTCCTTGTTTCTAAGGTTCATTCTGCCAAAATAGATGTGCCATGCATCTACCAACCTCTCGCGGTGCTTGCACATCAACGAATTCTTCAAAAATCCTCTGGGCCTTGGAAGCCAGTTTGGCAGTTGACCGTGTCTTTTTGAACTCCTCACAGGCCAGCCAAAATTCCAGGTTCTCCTCACTAAATTCTGTCTTCAGGAAGGCGCGAAATGCAGCCACTCCATCTGAAAAGAGAATACAGTTTATTTAATTATGACATTTTTAGTCTGCCTTTCTTATTATCAGGGACTCCAGAAGAGTTACAACATTAATTAAAATGTGGTACACTATACAACATTGCAATCGAACACTCCAGAATCCTAGCTGCAACGTTTTTATTAGAAGGTATGCCTAAATAATTCGGCTTTGCCAATTGCTTAGAGAAGAGGGTGAAATTGACAAAGTGGGGGCCTGCCTGAGGACTCAGGAAAACCATTCCAAAAAAATGGGGACTACTAAGTGAAAATGCTCTGCTCCTAGCAGTAGTTGTCTTCAGCTGCCTACAAGATGGCATCGTCTACAAGGCCTGATCCACAGAGTGGAGCTGCCACAAAGAAGTACATCTGGAGAAGCAATTCTGCAGGTATGTGTGCCCTAGGTAGGTAATAACTAGCACCTTGCATTAAATTTGGAAGCTGTCAGGCAGCCAGTCAAGGGTTCCCAAAATAGGTCTAACATGCAACTGTGCCTAGACCCAACTGATAACTGAATTACTGCATTTTGCACCAGCTGAAGTTTCTGGATTGATTTCAAGGGTAGCCCTAAGTAGAGAATGGTACAGTAGTCTAGCCTTGAGGATAATGGGCCCCAGATCAACATGGCCAAATCATCTGAGTCCAACAGGAAGCCAAATTATAGATCAAATGAAGATTACAAAAGGCACATCTTGCTGCTTGAGTTCACCTACTTCTCTAACAACAATGTAGGATCCCATGTAGTTCCCAGGCTCCTGTCTGAATCAGCCAGGTTCAACTGCGTCTCACTGAATATGGGGAGGACAGCAACCACTAGAATTTCAGCCTTCCCAAGCATAATTCACTTCATCTTATCTAGATTCAACTTTAACCTGTTCTATCAAAGCGCCTTTCAAGCTTTTTGGTTCCCTGTAGTGGAGTACCTAACAGGTAATGATATAATCCCTGAAAATTCATATTACCGAGACTTACTTTATTTTTGAAGTAGTATTGCTACAACAAAAAATGTTAGCAGTTTAAGAATACATTAACTAGTAGTTGGTTTTGAAATGTTTAATAGTTATTATACTTAACAAACGCAATTGGAAATTGTTATATGGTTATACCTGAAAGTCTGTGTATTTGTTTTTGCTTGAAAATAAAAATATTTGTGTGTGTGTGTGTGGGGGAACTTTAACCTGTTCTTCCTTAGCCAACTGATTACTGCTGACAGACGTCAGTCTAAGTTAGATAGAAAAGCCTTTGGTGGCTAAGTAAGAGAGGTGTGTACTTGGTGTCATCAGCATAGTGATGACATCCAGTTTCGTAGTGATTACGATTATAAGGAATCAGAGATAACAATGAACCCTGAGAATCCACACAGGACAATTCCCATACTGCTGATTCCATGTCATAGAATCGTAGAATCACAGAGTTGGAAGGGTCCAGACAGGCCATCTAGTCCAACCCCCTGCTCAATGCAGGATCAGCCTAGAGCATCCCTGACAAGTGTTTGTCCAGCCGCTGCTTGAGGACTGCCAGTGAGGGGGAGTTCACCACCTCCCTAGGCAGCTGGTTCCACTGTTGCACAACTCTTACTGTACAAACGTTTTCCCTAATATTCAGCTGGTACCTTCCTGCCCTTAATTTAAACCCATTATTGTGAGTCCTATCCTCTGCTGCCAACAGGAACAGCTCCCTGCCCTCCTCTAAGTGACAGCCCTTCAAATACTTCAAGAGAGCATTCACGTGTCCCCTCAACCTCCTCTTCTCCAAACTAAGCATTCTCAGGTCCCTCAGCCTTTCCTCATAGGGCTTGGTCTCCAGGCCCCCGATCATCCTCATCGCTCTTCTCTGCACCGGCTTCATTCTGTCCACATCCATTTTGAAGTGAGGCCTCCAGAACTGCACACAATACTCCACCTGTGGCCTGACCAATGCACCTGGAGTATTATGTGCAGTTCTGGAGGCCTCACTTCAAAAGGGATGTGTCACGAAAAGCAATCTTCTGGACAAGGTCAGTGAAGAATGATTCAAACCATTCCAAGGCATTTCTTCTCGTTCCTATTTCTATTTCTAAAAGACTGCATGACCAGTCATATCAGAGGGTGCCAAATGATCTGACAGAAACAATAAACAAGCACAGCCTATAAGAACATAAGAGACGCCAGTGTTGGATCAGGCCAAAGGCCCATCCAGTCCAACACTCTGTATCACACAGTGGCCAGAAATACCAGTGCCATCAGGAGGTCCAGCAGTGGGGCCAGGACATTAGAAGCCCTCCCACTGTTGACCCCCCCAAGCACCAAGATGACAGAGCATCACTTGCCCCACAGCCCCTATCTATACCTTGTGGCTAATAGCCACTGATGGACCTCTGCTATCTCTATATAAAATCAAGATCATCCCTTAGGACAACCAAAGCTGTCTTCCTCCCATAGCTAGGCCTGAAACTAAACTGGAAAGAATCAAGGGCACCTGAGATCCAGGAAACCCTAGAGTTGCTCTGCTACCATATGCTCAATCACCCTAGCCCCAAAAAGATAAATTTCAGAAAGGTCTGTAGTCTGCTACTCATTCTTATCCAAGGAAGGTTTCTTTATCAATCTGTGCATAACTTCCTGCTATAATATGAGAGGGGGAAAACCTTATGTCAGAAGGCTGTTAATGATACACATCACTGGTTCTCCTAACTTCCTCTGTCATGATTTTATCACCTGGGTGGGCAAAGGATCAAGGACTTCACAGCCCCTGAGATTCTGTCACTGTCGCTCACAGAAACCAGTCTGAAGCTATTCATAAAAAAACCAGATGGAATACCAGAAACCTCTACTACCTCATCTCCACAACTGGAGTCCGAGTCCAGTTGAAGGTGGGAACAATCTTCTCTTTGGGCACTTCTCTCCCTCCCCACTGTTATTAATGAAAAGCATTTTTGCAGTACTTTACTTTTCAATACTTCATTGTATACATAACGTTTTTTAAAGAACGTATTTAAAGAAAAAGTCAGTCCTAGCATTTGGCTATCCTGGAAAGAAAACCTTGTCTACTGGGTGTGTGTGTATGTGTGTGTGCTTGCAAAATTATCATTTTATGTCCATACTGGAAAATTCAGAAGGGTATGATTGTTGTTTTAATTAAAATACCAGCAGTATTCTTATAGTTCTGAAAATTCTTCTGATATTTACTAAAAACTGTAATCGTGCCCTTCCTGACTTTCCTATACAGAACAATAATTTTATATGCGCCTTCCCCCAAAAGGCAGCGAGAGTTGGGAGAGAAGGTCTGTGGCACACCTGCCCTTTAAATGCTAAAGAGCTATTTTTTTCAAAAAGGATAGACTTGGCTTCTGGAGACTGGAAGGCAGGCTCGATTTATAGTTTACCAGTTAGGATGTATTAGCGAACTGTGGTGGTTTGCCTGAACTGGGAAGCAAGTGACTGCATGAGGGGGAGGGGGCAAGAGGAAGTGAAGACATGGGCACAGGACTCACTCCCTACCTTACAGGAAGATCAAAACCCGTACATGTGGACCAACTCAGTGGCTTCCAGATCAGCACAGCAGAGGGTACGTTATGCTCATGCGTTCATTAATTATATTGGCGAACTGGAGTATATGAGTGGCTAAGACACGAAAGTAAAATGAGAAGCGGACCTTGATGTCATGAAAAGAAGATTGCACATCTCGTTCAGTCCATAAAATGCAAACGTCCGGCTTGTACAGCTTCACTTTTTTGGGGGGGGGCTGAGCATGGAAAGAAAAGGGGCTCTGCCCTGACCTGGATAGCCCAGGCAAGCCTGATCTCATAAGATCTTGGAAGCTAAGCAGGGCCGACCCTGGCAAGTACTTGGATGGGAAACCTTCCAAGGAACACCAGGGCAGGAATACAGAGGCAGGCAATAGCAAGACACCTCTCTGAAATGTCCGAGCCGCAGTAGGTGTCACCAGAAGTCAACCATGACTTCCAGGCACACACAGAGAGAAGGAGAGAGAGAGAGAGAGAGAGAGAGGGAGTGAGTCTAAAAAAATAAAAGAAAAGGGGGTCTAACCCTTCAACCTCCACTCAGTTTTGCAATTTGAAGCTTTTGAAGCTGACTCTCCCTCTCCGCTGTTAGCATTTTAAAGGAGAAAAGTCATGTCCTTTGAAGACACAAATTTCCCCCCTTGAAGATGGTTGAGCCTCCTCAGCACGGTCTTCAGGCAAATTGAGGCTGTATACCCAGAACTTGGATTTTTTTTTGATGGTCTGAGAATCTGTGACCTTTGCATTGTCTGTTTGGTATCTAAAGATGTCACTCAGGGTCTTGCACAATTACCAAAATCCCATCCCCCCCCATAATAGATTTGGGGATCCAGAATCAGAATTCAAACCAGAATCCGGCAACAGAAAACACTACCAGGGAACGACCTACGTTCTCTGGTCTTTAGTTGATCCGACAGATTATTATTGACTTCCCTCCTGGGGATTTTTCTTTTGGAATAACTGTAAACAGTTTTTCATCATGTGCCTGTTAATCATCCTGTTCCCTCCTCTTTTGCAGCTTTCCAACATCCTTTCTGCTTGCGCTGGGTTTTCCGAAAACAGAAGGCTTGCCAGGAGACGTGAGGAGCTGAGCAGAGAGTCTTATGAAGAGACAGCACTTTCTCATGATTGATACGCTGAGAAAGACCTCTGCTTCCCCTTTGCCCCAGAAAGCTGCCCAGAGGAGTCAGAAGGAAGGCCCAGCAGCTGGAAGCTCCAGATCCTACATGGCCTTCTGTCTAGCCTCCTGATGCTCCACATATTCAGTGGCTGTATAAAGGAAATAAAAAGTGGATACAGGATTGCTGTGTGGAGCTATGGCTTTCCTTCTCTTCTCCTGTGCTTCTCCTTCTTCCCTTTCTCTACCCCGCAAACTTTCTCCGTCCCAAGTTTTGAAGTGAGTAGTGACTCAAGAAAGATCGTACCCTGTCACAATTTTTGTTAGTCTTTAAGGTTCTACTGGACTCTTACTCTTTTCAACTGCCACAGA